AATAAACTAAACTCGTCCTTACTCCATACGGACAGACGGACGGACATGTCTAGATCGATTTCTCTCGTCATGCTGATCAAGAATATATATACTTTATGGGGTCGGAGATGCTTCCTTCTGTATGTTACATACTTTGCACAAACCTAATATACCCTTTTTACCCTACGGGTACAGGGTATAAAAACAGTTTGTCCTGACTGACTGACTGATTGGTGATCAACGCACAGCACAAACGGTAAAGGCTAGGAAGCTGAAATTTGGACTCAAGTATCCTTTCATAGTCTAGGTGCCCACTAAGAAGGGATTTTGGAAAACTCGAGCTCCAAAGGGGGGAAAACAGGCTCCAACGTTTGTATGAAAAATCTACAGTTTTCATCTGATTAACTTCAAACTTAGTTTGTATACTCTCAGAACAATTCCAAGAAACTGTGTACTTGGTTTTTTGATATTTTTTTTGAGCCTAAAATATGGGAGTTTCCCAGTAAAAAAATGTTGGGGCACAGAAGCAAACCGCGTCAACAGCCCACAGCCCACAGCCCAAACGGTAAAAGCTAGGATGCTGAAATTTGGGCTCAAGTATCCTATCATGGTGTTGATGCGCACTAAGAAGGGATTTTGGAAAATTCGAGCTCCAAAGGGGGGAAAAGTAGCTCCAAAGTTTGTTTGAAAAATTCGCATTTTTCAACCGATCCACTTAAAACTTAGTTTCTAAAATCAAATAAAGAATTCGGTTTTCGGTTTTTTTTAATTTTATGTTGGAGCTTGAATTATTGGAGTTTTCTTGGGGCACAAAAGGAAACCGCGTCAACAGCCCACAGCCCAAACGGTAAGAGCTAGAAAGCTGACATTTGGGATCAAGTATCCTATCATGGTGTAGATGCGCACTAAGAAGGGATTTTGGAAAATTCGAGCTCCAAAGGGGGGAAAAGTAGCTCCAAAGTTTGTTTGAAAATTCTGCATTTCTGAATCGATCAACTTTAAATTTGGTTTTTATAATCTATAAAAGAATACAAACAAAACTGCATACTCGGTTTTTCGAAATTTGTGTTGGAGCTTGAATTATTGGGGTTTTAATATTTATTCATTTTTTCAAATGAAAAGTTTGTGTTATAAATTTTGTCCGATCGATTTCAAATTTGGGTAATATAATCTACGTAACTAAAATTACAACTTTGCATTTAACGATTTTTAAATTATGCATTTTACAAATGCAGGCAAACAGTTGGGGACAACTAAGTATACATACACACACACATACATATATACAAGCAGCTGTTCGTGTAGTTGCGTGCAAACGGTTGAAGTAGCCAAAGCAAAATGTGAGACACTAATGTGTGAATGTTCATTTGTACAAATGTATGTACATATGTATATACATACATACATATGTATAAAAGTACATTCGTCTTGCACTGACAGGGCAAGAAATGTTAATTAATTAAAAATTATTAACATTATATCATAAACATTTTATGTTATTTTTTCTTTGTTTAGTACATTTGGCATAAGGGATTTTAGGACAACGGACTACAAGGGCGTACGCAGGTTGGGCAGGGGGGACATTGCTCCCCTTAGAAAGAATTTCGCATTATGAATTACACCAGCACCATATGTATTACATACGTACATACATATATACATACGTCTGTATGTATAGTATGTACATATGTACATCAATAAGTATGTATGTACGTACATACATTCTTATATACATATATAGGTTTGTATGTATGCAGTGGGCCATCGAACACTGTTGTTTAATTGTAATAAATAGTGTTCTATCTTTTCAAATCAAAATTTTTAAAACAACAACAACAAGTTATTGGCTCGCAAAACTTCTTTCGTTTTGATAATTTACGGCTGTTAATTGCATACGAAAAATGCCAAAAGTTTACAGTTACCGTACACACACAAATACATTTGTATGTATGTATGTACATATGTGTACAGTGAACAATCGAATACAGTATTATAATCAATAACTCTCAAACGATGTTTTTCGATGTATTTGTATTCGACATGTATTACGATATATCAACACAAGTATCGATATTTTCGATATATCGCATTTAATTTTATTATTGGGGTTTTAATATTTATTCACTTTTTCAAATTAATAGTTTGTGTTATAAATTTTGTCCGATCGATTTCAAATTTGGGTAATGTAATCAACATAACTATATCAACAAATTGGCATTCAACGATTAAAATATAGCAATATGTTTTTTACTTGCCATATATCAAATATCAAATAGTTGGGGACATCGCATACACACACTCACACATACATACAACAAGCAACAGTTCGTGTCTATGTGTGCCTATGCATACATACATATGTACATGCATATGCATGTATGCCTGTATGTATGTAGCATGTACATACAAAACAACAACAACAACTTCAAGTTGTTGGCTCGCACATCTTCTTTCGTTTTGACCATTTAATGTTAATTGCAAAGGCAAAACGCCAAAATTTTACAGTTACCGTCGCTAAGCAACGACTGCGTAAGCGATAGTAAAGCAGAAACCGAATAACGGAGCTACGCATATTCTGCTTCGCATTGCGGTGATTTGGTCTTATTGATCTCAAAAAATAATTAGATTTTATTATTTAAATATTCTGCTTATTGCATTCAAACTTCGATATTTTGATGGTATCGGTGGCTTCAACTATCGAAAGTTTTACTCTAGCAAATTGAGATGAGAATTGTTAGTGCTTTTTGATCGTGGCTCATCGCTGCACGGCATTGACACGAGTGCCGTGATTCATATTCCGAGTTTGTGCGTGGCCGTATTGACTCAATATGGCACGAAAAGATTCAAATGTCAATTTAAAATTATGATATACCCTTATAATAATTCCCCTTTTTTGCACATCTTAAAACGTTGCGTTATCTCTATATATAAAACAGTTTGTCCTGACTAATTGGTGATCAACGCACAGCCCAAACTGTAAAAGATGAAATTTGGACTCAAGTATCATAGTCTATCATAGTGTAGGAGCACACTAAGAAAGGCTTTTGGAAAATTCTAGCTCCAAAGGGGGGAAAACGAGGTTTAAAAAATATTAGTTATAGTGGTCATGTTCGTTTAACGAAATAGTTTGGCAAGAACAAAAACAATTTTTTGTCAAGAACAGAAAATGTTCATTTAAATACCTTAAATGCCTTCCTACTGGTAACTTATAAGGTGAAAACATATGGGTAGGTTATGCACACACAAAATAAATACAATTGGAAACACTATATTGAGCCGGGTTAAGACGGGCAATACCTGCTACTAAATATATATAGTATTTATTAAATGGACTCGGCTGCTAATGCAGATCAAGAATATATATGGGGGTCGGAAATGCTGCCGCCTGCCTTTTATAATTCTGCACAAACCTAATATACTCTTATACCTTTCAGTTACACTGGTTCTCACAAAATTCGGATATCCAAAAAGATGTCTATTTAAATAATTACGCTGAATCTAGCAATAAGATGGGAAAATACAAAATATATTTTAAGAACAAATTATTTGGTATTACAAATTTTGAAAATCTTTTTCAGAACCTTTCGATTGACTATCCTGATCGGTGCAGAATTAGAGCCAAGTCAGGTGAATGATAATGTGGCAGGATAAAAATTAGTCCGATTATGCCACAATAAAAGCCGAAAGGACACAAACAATAGCCATGCCCAAGACAAATAGGCGAATTGTAAAGTAAATGGACAATAATTATTCACTGCAATAAATTTCACGACCGCATAATTTACATACAAAGGCACGTGAACATGTTTTGACCATGTATTATCTGTTTGTGTGTATACGAGTATATGTATGTATGTATGTATGTATTTATATGCATATAGTATGTAAGCTTGGAACCTTTGTTTGGCAACGTCACTCACGTACAAATCATTTAAGTGCAACATAATTGTGGTGCCCCCAATGCTGGACTGGACATGTCGTTGCCTCCCCCCCTGGTCCGCTGACGGCTTCTTGTATTACTGGGTGGGTAATTGCTGCCTCCCCATGTGTCAATAGCAATTATGTTTAGGGTTTCTTCGAAAATGGGCGTCTCTGTGTGTGTGTGTTTAACGCTTACAGGTGAGCTTGTGTCGACGCTTCATTCCCTCAAGTAGTATGAACTACCCATCGGTCGAAACTTTTCGACAGCCGAAATCTACTTTGAAGCAAGTAATGAAGGACAGGGCTGGGCAGGGCAGCGCCCACGCAGACCCAGCTTGAAGTCACAATCAATATAAATGCGTTTGACTTGTTGTTGTTTATTGGGTGTTGTAGTTGTAGTTTCTGTTGTTGTTGTTTCTGCTTTGCTGCTGTTGCTGCCTGTACATGACCATTAGCGTGTTGTTTAATTGAATTGTAGCAATTAAAGTGCTTCAATTGGTTTTAATCGGAAATTGTGCTCATTGTTGGCAACAGTCAAGTTGATAGTTGTTGTTGTACGATAACTAAATTGCTTTTGTGCCTGGCATGCGTTGCATACCATGAGGCGCTTGGTGGTTGGCGCTTGGGACTGGGTGTTAATTGCAAGTCAAGTTGAGGCTAAAGTCCATGCAATGGTTGCTTCATTAATGTTCTGGCATTCAGATGCCAAAAAGGAAATGTGCAATAATGTGACGTTCTCTCAGACCACGTCGGGGGTGGTGAAGGTGTTCCAGTGGCTGTGTACGTGGCGGTGACAGCGTTAGCAGCGACGCTCAACAGGCTGTTTTTTTTGCCTTTGCAGCAAAATTTCCCCAACATTGAAAAAGTCCCAGCCAGAGAAATGCGGAGCACGAACAGCTGTTCAGAGACTTCACTCTCATGCGTTCAAGCAGCCAAACGGCAATGTTGCTCGCACTCTTGCAAGTCTGCTCTCTCAATGTACTGTTTGATTTTGTTCGCCTGCCTTTTGGTGCTTTCACTCAGTACGTAACGAACTTTGAGCGCAGGCGGTTCTAGTGTGTCTCATTTTCTGCTTATTTTGAACGCACTGTAAACATGCGCGCCAAAGCCAAAACCAAAAGCATATAAACGACAAATCGGGCACGTGAAAAAACATTAAAACACAAAAATAAATATATACGAACGCGCGTGTGATTGTGCATGCCTATGTGTGTTGCGCCAAATGGGCATTTATTTTTGAGCAGCGGCAAATGTGAAGTGTATAAAATTTAAAATATAAATAGCCAGCGCTACTGCGACGGCTACAACAGCAGCAACAAAAAACACTTACACACACTCAAGTGAATTGAAGAAATATTTGTGAAATGAAGCCACCACAATCGAAAGTCAAGCGTTTAACAGAAATGCAGTGCACCCCATTGCAGTGGCTGCTCCTGCTCTGCTGCTGCCTGGCAACCCTGGGCTCTGGCGCCGATCCCACCAGCAGCAACAGTGGCAGCTATGGGGCCACTTTCATATCCAATCCAGCCATATACGCGTACACCGTGGCTAATCAGCAGCAGCAGCAACAACAACAGGAACCAATACAAAGCAAAAACTACATTAACTTTGCTACTGCTAATGCCAACCATCGTGGATCCAGCAATCGCAATTTTTACTACACAAACACAAACAGCAACAGCAATAACAACAACAATTTTGATGTTGACAGCACTCCGCCGTTGTTGGCTGCCGCAGCGCCGACGCCAATAGCGCCGCTGGCCACGCAGCCACCACCGCTTACCGGCTGCACCCTGGACCGCTTGGCCGTCTACAAAGTGGTGCTGCACACTTACTGGACGCGCGAGCTATTTCCCAAGCACTTCCCGGACTGGCGACCCACAGCACAGTGGACCAAGACTATAGGTAAGTGATGAACTTAGATGACCTAGGTCTGGCAATATTCGTTCTACTATTTCAAAAAATGTACATGGGATGGACTAGCTTGGCTTTGAGGATTTTTAGACAAATTGCTCAATCGTAGGGGCCCAGTAAATAGGATAAACTGGACCTTAAACTTAGCTTTGAGAGATATTTTATTAATTCTTTTTTTTCCTATATACTAAGCTCAATCTGTAATGATGTTTTAATTATGTCCAAGCAACTGAAAATTTCGTGTTTTGTGTCACTGATCTCCACAAACTAAACGTATTGCCTACCGACGTTGATTGAACAACTTCATTTAGTGAGTGGCACTGGTACATTAGTGCGAAAGTATATAATACACAGAAGTAGTTTGGTAGACCCTACAAAGTGTAGTGTGTATATACTTGATAAGTGTTACGAAACGGGTCCATACAGAAATGCACTTCCTTCTGTGCATCTGTCCGTTCGTCTGCATGAACGTGTAAGTTAGTTGCAGATGAAACACTCCTAGTGTATATTAACACAACTAAATTACTATTTATTAATTCGAATGAATACAATTAAGCTATAGAGATCGACGCATCAATTGATTAGAGATGTGGTCGCTGCAAACGCAAGGATGTCAAGAAGTACAACAGCTATAGTTACTAGAGTTACTTGGTAATTTTCTAATTTCTCCTTAGCTCTAAGCAAGACAAGTTTTTTATTTGATGAAGCTCCTCACTCTCGTGTTATTCGATTTTTTCTGTAACTCCGGAAATACTTGTAATTTGGTACCTAAATGGGCAATCTCACGTTATATCCGTAAATAAGTGTTGTTAATTCAACTTCGATTTTAGTTCAACTATGTATGTACTATACACAAAGGTATAGACACAATTCCGTTAATAGTTAATGCAATTGAAATCGCAGATCAATGCATATTTTAAAAATCGAATAAAACAAAACAAAATTTGTTTTTTTTTTTAAGTAGATACATGTCTTTTTAAACTTGGTTTTGATTGTTATGCTGTTTACATCAAATTCAGGAATGTACATAACATAAAATGTATATAATATGCACTGTGTTTATGTGTAATTCAAATGCTATTAAATAGCTGTTTAGTTAAATCTAATCTTGAACACAAGTTCAATGTGGTCGGGCCGTTGTGTGTGAACGAATTGCTTAAAAAAACAAGTAGAGAAGCTAAAGTCGGGTGTCCCGACTTTGAAATACTCTGTACATATGTGTAGAATAATTATGCGTGTATGTGTGTGTGTCTATGTATGTATGTCTCGTGTGCCTGTGCAAAGCAGTAACAACAAGAACAGCTGCGGGCACTGCTTGGTCATACATACATAAATGGCTATAACTTCCTGTACGGACTCATAATAACTATGGAGAATCAGTGATTGCGGGGGGGGGGGGGGGGGGAGGGGGCAGGGGAGAAGAAGGGAAATACCAAAATACACACTTTCTGCGTATTCACATAAGGCACCCGGTGTCCCTGGGTCTAATACTCTCCGAGATATAGGTGATTATACGAATGGAAAATCGGGGAACCCGCCAAAAAAATAAACTTGCACAGCGTACACACATAAGCCATTATTGCAAAATTTAGTGTCCCTAGCTAGGTGTTCATACGGACAGACGTCATTACGGGCCACTTGAAGTCAATTTACTCCTTCATTTACATTTATTCTTAGTTGAGGCTTTCGCGCCAGGTTGATGTCAAGTTTTTCGAGTATATCCGACACAACCACCATCCAGCTTGTAAATCACCAAGGAATTATATAGACTAGTCTCCCGCTTGACATCCAAGTAGGATCTGTTCTGGTCATCACATTTCTCCCTTGTTGTAATAAATCCTTACAAGCTAGATACGCGTAATTAGGAAGAATCAAATTAAATTACAATAATTGCTTTTAATTGGCCCCGATTCACAATCAATTGTTATCAGAGATGTTCATAGGCAAGTAACAAATTCTAAAATACAAATTTGATTAAAAACTGATAAAAGAAGGGAAACAAAGAAATAATTAATAGTTCTATCCAATGGGTATTACTTATAAGATTAGGTTATATCTTGACTAGTTTATTCCATGGTCACATATGTGTGTATATATATATATCTCATTTACATACTCGTATATATTTCTTTGTGTCCAAAATTAATTCCCTTTTCGCGCCCCTTCACCCATTACGTACTTACAACATTAACACACTTGGTAGAAATTGCTTCCAAAATCCTTATAAGCAAAAATGTTTTCCTTGCAATAGCTGTATTCAGAAGATGGTGTGGGGGGACCGCCGGACATTCCGATTTGGATCCATGCATAAGTAGGTATGTACCATGGACTAACAAAACAGGGTATAACATGAAGCAAAATTTATTTACTTGGCTAAAAAGTGTAAGGGTATATTATTTTTGCAGTATAGTACTATTTATATACATATACTTGTAGTATGTATATGTACCAGTAGTTCTGATGCCAAGCGTGGGCAAGTCCTTCAATTAGGCTTAGCACATGGTAGACTTAAATGTTGTAATTCTGCACAACTACGAAAATAACACAAAAAGCACCAATATCAGCTACATACTCGTACACACGCACACTAATTTGTCACAATAACTTGGCAGACAAACAGACGAGACATAAAAATAAATCGAAAAGCAATTTCGCAGCAAGTTGCCTAAACATTTGGATTTGAAAGGGCCAAAAGGAATGGGCAATCGGCAGTCCAATAGATGCGATAGATAGCCAGATGAGTTGGGCGACAGAATTTCAGAGTCCTAGCCACATTGGCATGTTGCTTGTCTTATCATGTTTTTTGCAGATTTGCTGTCGATTTATTGCAAACTCTCTCTCTCTCTCTCTCTCTCTCTCTCTCTCTCACACACACACACATACATACGTACCCACACATACTCAGAATCCAATACACAACACACGACAAGTTAATCTGACAGGAAAACAAGCGCTGGCATACTTTCAGGCGCACATAAAAAAGGATAAGCGTGCAGGCAAGACGAGGCAGGCGGGCAAGCGTGCGCCTAAAAAAAAAATGCGATTTGTACGTGCTTATGCGCTATATGCTGGTCTCAGCGTAAAACAAGAAAGAAATTGGATAAAGTTGTTGGCCCGGCCCAGTTGGAGGCAGACAAAGCTACACAAAGCTAAAAGCGCGCGAAATTTTGATGTTTTGATTTTCGGCACTGTTGCACTTAAATTCGTACACCACGACCCATACCTTCGGCTTTTCATCTCCTTCTCGCCACACTGCCACCCCATGCCACAGGCACACATGCCACCTCTGGTCTGTTTGTTCTTGTTGTTGTTGTTGAGCTAATCTCTTGGCAAATAAACAATAAAATCATAAAACATGCTTACCGCCTGGCAGGAGCAACAACAACAACAGCAGCAGCAGCAGCAACAATAACAGTTTCAAAGCTTTTCCTGACAGCCAATTTTCTTGTCTTGCCTTGCCTTACCGTGCCGTGCCGTGCCTTGGCATACCTTAACTTACCTTAACTTACTCTTTTGGTCTGGAGCTTAGGTTTATACGCTTGTCGGACGCTTTTGCAAAGTTATTTTTTACTACGCTTGCCGCATCATTTGCGCTGTCGGCTTAGCAGCTACACACACACACACATACACACACACCCACATACTCACACACACATCCAAATACTTGTGGAACTGTGCTTTGCATTTAGGCACATGGCCATAGAACATTTCAAATGCTAATTAAGCTCGGCCCAGTTGCTCACAATGCGATATTTTCGTATTTACCGCCCATGTATCCTTCAACGTTCCCAACGTTCCTCTCTTGCGGTTTCAACTCAAACTGTGCCTAGTTGATAATGTCCGTAACTGTGATTTATAGTTCTTGCTGCTTTTGATGCTGATGCTGATGCTACTACTGCTTAAAACAGTGCCGTATTGTATGTAATTTATGCTTTTGGTATCAGTCTCCGTCCACTTCAAGACCTTGCGCGTATGTACATACACGTATGGAGAGTATTGTCGCAGCTATAGGCAAGCTATTAAGCATTCGTCATGGGGTTCACAACAACATAAATTGCAGAAACATCGACACCCTAGAGAAATGCGGAAATGAAATCGTGTGCCTGTGCTCAGGTGAATGTTCCTCAAGAAAATTAGACTATGAGCAATGGCTACAAGGGTAGAAGACATAGAACTATTTATTTGTAGTTTACATTTTTACCCATACTTTCTAAAATTACTGTTCTCAAATATCACGCAAATATTTATTGTGTGGCTAAAAAGACATAAATAACAAAATCGTTCAAAAAATGGGTGGATGGTCGTCTTTCTAGATTTTAGCCCAAAAGTGTAACCGCTTACAAATCGATCAAATCAGCATAACTTTTGAATAAACAAGTGCAAAGCTAAAGTCAGATGCCTCGACTTTGAAATACTCTGTACATACAAGTATGTGTAGAATAATTATAAAATTTTGAAAAAATTCGACTCTGAAGTGATCAAGGACCTCTTCAGAGTCTGGAACAATATTTTTAAAGTTCAGTAAACAGCCGTTGATTAGAATTAAAGAAACAACTAATGGTAAATTAACTTCTTCTTCCGATATTTATAAAATATCATTTCCAAAATATATAGGCAGAGTATAAAATCTGTACATGAAATGCATTACAAGAAGAGCAGAACTACCCCTGAAAGGGAAGGAGGGAAATTCCGAAATACTTATTTGCTGCGTAACCATATAAGACATCTTGGACAAAAATGTAGTGCCCCTAGGTCTTATAGTCTCCGAGATATAGGTGATACGAACGGCCGAAAAACCCAAAACAAAACAAAACTTGGCTCTATTTCTTATGGTCTCTGAGATCCAGGTTTATATGTGGACTTTGTGGGGTCTGCCACACCTCCTTCTGCCTGTTACATTTTTCACCTCCAGCAAACCTAATACTCGTATACTCTTTTTTATTTTGTTTACAGAGTATAAAATATTGACATCAATCTATCTATTCGCAGTA